CGACAAGAAAGATTTCGTTAGGGGAGCAGCTTAAGGAAGAGGAGAAGAAGAAGGCAATATTGTTGTTATACACATGGAGAGATGCCTTTGCGAATGTATTGAAAGATATGCCGGTGACGGACTTAGTGGAGCACCAGATTCCGGTTTGGCCTGGAGCCCAACCAAGACGCGCGAAAGACAAAGTTTATACAAAAGAGGAGCGGGATTGGCTGGAGTTGAATATACCGCAGTTGGAGAAGGCTGGGATCATTGAGCGTTCCGAGTCCCCATGGTCACACCGGACAAAATTTGTGAGAAAAAAGGACGGTGGACTTCGAATGGTACACGTTTTCTGTCCGATCAATGCCGCTACGATGGTTTCGAGTTATTCAATGAAGCGAATCGAACCTGTCATCAATAATTTGATGCAAGCACGGTATACCATCTACTTTCAAGCCGATGCGGCAAATGGGTTTTGGGCGGTACGGATGAATCCTACCCATGCCTATCGCACAGCATTCTCAACCGACAACGGGCAATGGCAATATCTAAGGATGGGACAAGGCCTCGCTGGGGCACCCTTGACGTACGCACGCCTGAAGGATCTTTTTAGCGGTGCAATCCCAGCACCACATCCAGAGCCATGTTTAAACAGGTGCTCCGAGGGAGCATTTGAGTGTTTCGTAGATGACGATTTTGGTGCCCACTCGAGCTTTGCCTCCTTGTTCGACTTTCTACACGATCACTATTTCCCTCGCCTTCTCTGGGCCCAGATCACACTCAAAGATAGCAAATCAGGCTTTTTCCTGAACAAGATCAGTCCACTTGGGTACGCAAGTGACGGAAGTGGTCTCCGGCCGTCATTAGACAAAGTTAAAGCTATTCGAGAGTACCCCCAACCGACGAATCTCGCCGAGATCGAAGCATTCCTCTACATGACGATTTTTCTACGTCAATTCATTCCCGGACGGGTAGAGCACGTGAGGGTATTGAAAAATGGGGTACAATATAAGGTTGAGGTTGACGGTTCGAGTCGATCTACTATACGATTAAGCAAGCAGGGACGCCCACACAAGGCTGAATGTGGAATAAATTGGGGCCCGGAGCAGGAGACCGCATTCCGCGCGATTAAGGAAGCGATCCTTAAGAATGTGGTATACGGTGGTGATGAAACTCGGCAATACCATTTGATGACCGACGCATCCTCACATGCGATTGGGGGAGTCCTTTTTCAGCTACCCAATTTCGAGGCCGGGACGAACATATCACCGATGACGAGGAAAGATATGAGGGTGATTATGTTCATCTCAAAAAGACTGTTACCTGCAGAAACTCGGTACTCGACGACAGAGCGGGAAGCCTTAGCTATCTTGAGATGCCTGGAAGAAGTGCGTTGGCTAGTATTGGGCTCGCCGTTCCCCACTAAGGTATACACCGATCACCGGGCATTATTAGGGCTACTCCATAAAGATGATGCACATGGGCGGATCGTTCGTTGGCAGATTCGCTTGGTGGAATACGATGTCGAGTATATCAATATCCCGGGAAAGGAAAATGTTATAGCGGATGGGCTAAGCCGAATGAGAGAGGATGCGGGGGAGAGTAGATATGCAGCGGTTGAAGGAGGATCTTGCGACGTGAGTGCAGTAGAGAAGGAGGAGACGGAGAAGGAATGGAGTGAGTGGCTTGCAGATGAGTGGTACGGGGATGTTACCTATTTTAAACTGTTCGGCGATTTGGAAGGATTTCGGGATGAAAATGGGGAGCCATTAACCCTACAGAAGAGACGTCTCGTCCGGCAGAAATCCAAGATGTATCGCCTGCTCGCTCTGAATACAGCACCAGCTCAGGCAAAAGAACTGAAGGGCCTTGCAGCGAGGCTACCAAACCGGCTCATCTATGTGGAAAGAAATGGGAAAGAGGCAGTCTGCGTTCGGCAGACACAAGTTTCGGCGGTTCTACACTACCTCCATGACTGTCATGGACATTTTGCACCAGGTGTCCTACTCCGTACGCTTATCGGGCGGTACTACTGGCCGACCAGGAGGAAGGATATACAAATTCACTGCGCAACGTGTCCCAGCTGCCAATTGATCAGGCCGTTAAGACCTTCTGTGAGTCAGATGACGATCGTACACCTCCAACCCTTAGACATGATGGGTTTCGATTTCGTTGGACCGTTCCCTGAAACTCCTCGAGGAAACAAGTATATTGTGATTGGAGTTGACTACTTTACCCGGTTCATGTTTGCACAAGCATCGCCGGACAGTCAAGGCAAATCAGCTGTTGTACTCCTCATGAGAGTAGTCAAAACCTTTGGGTGGTCAAGAGCAGTATACACTGATAATGGTACTCACTTCGTATCGGGTGAGTTTGCAAGAGTGCTGCAAGGTCACCACGTCGTTCATCTACCTGCACCAAAATGTCACCCACAGTCTGTTGGCCTGGCGGAAAGATACGTTCGTCTGTTGGTGGAAGGTTTGAAGGTCACCCTTATAGCGAGCAAGGGTGCTTCAACGGATTGGGACCTCTATGTTAACCCAGTCATCCATTCTATCAATACCAGAGTCCTGCGAGTTCACGGATTCAGCCCTGCGGAACTATTACTCGGATACAATCCGAACAGAATCGGTTGGGACACTACATCTAATACGGAGCGGGCTGTCTCTGTTATTCTCAGCGCGGTGCCTGAGAACCTGGATTTGTGGAACGGAGACCAGATCCTGGCCGATAGACAGCTTGAGCGCCTGACAAGAATCGATGAACTGCGTACAGAGGCAGCGGAGAAGGTCGTTCAGCAAGCAGACCAAAAGATGAAGGCCCAGAAGGACCCTCGATTTTTACCACCTTCCGCAGGTGACTTGGTTTTACTTCGGCGGTTCATTTTGGACCAGCGTCGTGGAAGTAAGCTAGAACCCCGGTGGGAGGGACCTTACCTACTCGGAGACTTAGCCTGGCATGGCAAGAGCGGCCGACTCTACGATATCAATACTCGGGAGCTGGTTCGAGTAAAGAAGAGCGGCTTGAAGGATCGGGTTCATCTCAATGATATAAAACTATATCTGAAGCGGTCGGCAGAGGAGGTAGACCTAGTGGATTTACTTGAGTACGGAGGAGAAGATGGAAGGCCACCGTGGGTGGAAGAGGATAGGCTTAGCAGGGAAGGGGTAAAGGCAGGAGGAGACAGCGATAGGAAATTGAAGGTACACTGATGGGATAAGGCTAAAGAGCGTGGATAAGGGAAAGAGATAGAATGCGGGAGTGTCATGAGGCGGTTACTTGGCGATTCAGTTAGCTAGCTTGAGAAGGGTTGTTTATGGGGGGATATGATAGTAGGACAGTATAGTTAGCTGCCTTCGGGGGCGAAGGCTTGAGGAGGGAGAGCCCTTGTAGGGGGCGGTGGTAGTATAGGATAGTTTGGCAGTCACAGGGGGAGATATGCACGCACAATGGTTGCACAGTAGTAGATAGCTTGGCACACACAACTTTCGGTATTGGGGGGAGGACTTTCATGTTTGCGCAGGAGATAGAGAAAACAACCTTCCTCACGGCTCTCAATTCAATCACCAGTCCTCACCTAGGAGGTTGGTCCTTTTCCTTGGTTCTCTTTCTGCTTATCCGCCCTATTATCTTTTATCTACCCAGAGCCAAGTTTACCTGCTCAATCTCCGGTGATAGCAAGTAGAGTTCCGGTCGTCTTTCTCTTCACGGGCGTGCATGGTCAACACACCATCCATCTAAGGGGAAAGCAAAGGGACATCCCCACACCGGTACTTTTGAGAGCTGAGTTTAGCAAAATCTGTTTCTGCTCTCCTCCTTCCCCTTTTATTCGCCTCAACCTAGGGCTGAACAATCACTCTCGCTGTATTTTCTCCCTTGATCCAAAGGGGGGAATTCTAGACGTCCTGCTCGTCGCCTTATTTCTCGATTATCCCAGCCTTCACGCTGCCTCAATTTAATGCACTCGCGTGCATACATCCCAGACACGCCAAACCCTCAAAGTGCCCCCCTCAGATGGGGACTAGGATCTGCGATCGTGCAAAGCCGCTTCCATTACAAAGTTCGCTCGTGATTGCGACGCCTACCGGTAGATTATGGCACAGGTAAAATACCTTTGAAAGGGCATGATGAAAACCTAATCCGATTTCTGCCACCAAAATGTAATCTTGTAGCGGTTGCTTGGGTGTTGGTCCAGGTCTCGGACAGAGGCTGTTGCACCAGTATTAGTTTTAGCGAGTAGCGGCGTAGACCTCCGGATGCTCCCTCTTCTCTCAAACTTGAATCAACCAAGCAGGAATCAGTTTCGGGGTTAAGCGCCAGCGCGCATTCCTGGATAAAACAACACTTAAGCCGAGCGTCTGTTTTGTCGCGGTACGATACAAACGTTGGAGGTTGGAAGTTTTCGCTGTCCAGATCTAAATTAGATTAGATCACCGTGGCAACCACCGGACGAAACTGCCCCAAAGCATCCCGGGGAACGCACGGAAGGGACGCGTCGCATCACGCCGTAAGCGACAGAATGCCCGTGTGCTGTGCTTACGTTGCAGTTCGACCGTTTCCACTGCACTTCCGGACTGAACAGACTCTTGCCATTTTGCGCCCATGACGAGCCCCCGCCATTTTCGACCAATGGCGATTTTCGCGTCCGAATGTTTTCACCCACTGAGCGCGAGTACCGGCAGACTGATGTTACCGGTGCTGCGCATCAGGGAACCGGGCTACGGTACCGGCCGGTAGTGTGAGCCATCCATGTCTATGCGATGGCTGCTGGGCTGTGCCAAAGTATCGCCACGAACTCCCCGATTTTGCCATTCTGGCTGTGTGCGGCACTCCGGACCCTTGCAGCGATCTATTGTAAGAGGGGCGCCCTGATCTGAGAACTCTCCGTATTGGTGTACCGGTATTTTTTTTCCCCCCGCCTGTTGCTCTTTTGTAATCCTCAGTTCCCCAACGTGTCACCACAATCGGCTCGCCATTTCCTGTTCTTGATAAGGTGACCGGTGTATCGTTCTGACGCCATTGGTTGGGGAAATCAGGCTCTCCAAGTATATCGTTTCGCGTCTCGGGTTGCGACGACTTGGGCCCCAAAATTTAAGTAGGGGTTTATCGAGTGATGAGCTGTGGTGCGATATTTTCCTGGTCGGGTGTGGGGTTTGGGAGTGGTGGCGCAAATATCATACCTGTCTGTATCATAGGTGTCCGAGATGGCGGTGGGGGAGACTGCCTTGCACTGTACGGGTGGTTCTGAAAAGTATGGTGATTACAGCATCATACTGGATTGGTTCAAGTGGACTTGAGGGAGGCTGGCACCTTTTAATCACCCTGCCCCCATCTTCTGCTTTTGGGTGGTTCTCTATTGGTTGAATTGGACTAGCTGCCGACTTGCCCTCCCCCCCCATAACGCCCTTAACCAACCCCCTAATATTCTTGGTATGGAGTGGTATTCTTCTCTAAATGGTTTCTCACGACTTTCCCTGCTCTGGTGCAAGGCTTTGGCCTGGAGAAACTCTGTTTGCTGTTTCGACCATAACTTGGAAATAGACGCCAGGAATTATCCCGGATTCTGCTTGTGTGCACGAGGGACTAATTTCCGGCGGCTACTATCGAGGGAGGAATGTTGGGGAAGCAGTATGGAGGACTCCACGGCTTATCATAATGTTCAGGTGGGGAACGAATAAGGAGAGATTGTGTGAAGCCGGTTTGAAAATTTCGGAAGATGGCTGAAGAAGTGCCCTTTCCCTTTAACCTTGAACCCCTCTATTTGTGGTGACGCCGGATGACAAAAAGGTGAGAGATTTTGAGCAAGTGTGGGAACAAGGGAACTAACTGGGTTTAGGGTTGCTTGGTACAAGTATCGCTCTCTGGATTCTTTGAACGTGGAAACATCGAATAGGATGAGACAATAAGTGAATGGGCCTTATCATACTTTCTGCTAAACGGCCCCTCTAAGACAACATCTTGGCTCTTGAAAACACTGCACGAGCTTGAATGGGGTGAATTCGAGAGGGCCGTGTTTGCCATATTAGTTCGGGGGATATAGCCAGCATGGATCCGACGGCTGCCGACCACGCTATCATTGCTATCGACGCCAACGCCCTATATTCCACATTGCTACATTGTCGGCCCTAAATAGACAGGAGATTTGCTAACGCTATACCCGGAGATGGATAATACACCCACCCTCTGGCCTTCGCTGGTCACACAGGTGGTTAACCACCTCGTGGCTTTTTTATATACATCCATCCTCACTCGCGACTCGATCGACTTTCGAGTTTACAGTAGATGGGTCTGCTTCTTGTGCGTAGGAGCTGCCGGGCTTCTGGTTTCTGGGGTGTCGAGACACCTTTCGGCTCTTCTTGACTATATGGGGTGTTCGCGATGGAAAGAGGCTATCTGGGTGATATCATGCAATATCGGGGTTTTCACCTGTATGCATTCCATCTACCTGATCGCGACGAGGGAATCGCGACTCGTTCCTGACGCCCCACCGGCTCGCAGATCATTCCCTGGTCCTGAGGATCTAGATAGAGGCGATTATACGATCAATTTAGTAGTCAAACTTGAGGCTAATCAAACCAGGCTCGGGTCTAATCGGAGGAGGGAAGAAGACTTTCTGGCACGTGCTGGGGAGTTGTCTCCACCCCTGCGGACTTCAGGAGAAGGTGCGGGGGACGATGAAGATGAAGGTAATGCGATGCCGCCTGGTGCTCCTCCCAGCACAGATTTTTGGAATTTCGCTACTCCGAAGGTTCTCTCTCCAACGAGACCCTCACAACCTATCATTGGTGAGTCCGGGGAGGCTACAGCACATCCGCACACGCCCCCCCGCATCCGGCCTGAAAACTTATACAGGCGTCCGGTGTCTATCCCTGGATTTCCAATCCAGCCTATGACGCAAAGGAGGACATCGATACCAGTAACTCCAAGAGGGCGGGAAGGCAGAGGCGGGGGAACCCAGGAGGGTCAGTTGCCCGGAGGGGGACCTCGCTCAGTATCACCGAACACAGCGAGAAATTACCCCTTATATGCTGAATATCAGAGAACCAGACAGGTTTCTCCGCAAATGACCTTTACGCCTGTGGGAAGCCCTACGGTAAGTAATATTGAGCTCTTCATAAACCACTGAGATATGGATAGATAGACTGACACGCATAATAGAACCGACCCGACAGAAGTGCTCCCTCGCCTTCTGGAGATGAGGAGGTCCCGTAAGGTGATCTAGGCGACAACCCCGAGGACACCCCGAGGCGAGGAGATGAGAAGTAGGGTGAGAATTTGTGGTGTCTGTGGTTGGGGGGATTAACAGCGATAGCAAAGATTAGGCTTTTGACTTGGATGGCAAGTACGATATTGGAATGACTCTAGTTTTAGAAGCTTAGTGCAATAAAGGTTCTTTAGGTCAACACCTCCGCTTGCGTGCTCGTATGACAGCAGAAGAGGTGATCACCAGCTCTTCAGAATCGTCGATCCTCAAAATGTCTCCCGAGTGGCGAGGGAATGGGCAGTGAGCACCCGCACTAAGCTCTTTCCTAATAACACACACTTGCTCAATCCCTCCAATAGTGTGTGGTGACAGCGGCCATTAGAAATAAAATTCAAATAATCAAGGCATGAAGAACAAACGAACCCATTCATTTGTCACCAAACCTAAGTCACCTACTGTATGATACACTCCATTCATAGCGAGTATTTCCGATACCGCCCACTGTTTATTTATTTATTTCACCCTACCAAGTCTATAACCCCCGTGTCCTTGGAGCCGGACCTATCCTACCCTACCCTATCCTATCCTATCCCATGACTAGACTCGCCTCAGGACTACTTCAATATCCGCCGTGATCGCCGATGCGCACAAACGATCACTCGTCTTGTACGCTCAGAGCACTATCATACTTTCCTCTTTCTGTGGGGTTATGCAGGTAGTGATTATCTCCTGGAATTCTGTGCCTACCTTAACTCCCCATTCCGTGCTTCTGGTATTGTTCGCGGAGGTGAAGGTTGCGGGTTTGTCTGCGTTTGGTGGGCGGGGGTGGTATCGTAAGTGTTGGGGGGTAAACCGACGGCACACTCTGGGGAATAGCTGTCGTAGGGCCTGCCGTTGGGGAGGTACTGCGTGTTGTGGCGAGGTGGTGTTTGGGGAGGAGGAGGGGGTTGGGCTGGTGCTTGAGAGTGGTAAGGGTTTGGATTGTAGCGATGATTTGTGGATTGCTGGCTAACTTGAGATGAATGATAATAGCTACTAATCTATATAAAGGTTGAAATACTGTACAGAGAATGCTAAACATCCCCTATTATGATATCTTTAACAGCTCAAGACTTGATCTACGTACGCCTACTCTTTTTTTTTTTTTTTTTTTTTGGCGTCACCTCTAATCGTTATTTCGCTCTCGATCCCTCAAGAAGTTCCTTAAAAACTGTTCAGTCTCCGGAGTCAACCTCCGGTGTCCCTTCCAATCCCTGATGGAATTCCCATCCACATTCCTCAAGTCTAGATCTAGGTTCAGTCTCCCAAGCAATTCCTCCATAACCCCAAAGTACCCGCCCATGGCTGCGAAATGCAAGGGGGTATTCCCGAGCTCATCCTGCAGGTTGACATCCACTCTGTGACACTCCAACAAGGCGGCCACGGTCTCCTTGTCATCCCGGTGAACGGCAAGCTGCAACGGCGTGCGGTCGGACAGGTCCCGAAGGTCCGTCCGGACCCTAGCGTCATTGAGCAATAGCCGGAGCACAATTAACTTGTCCCTCTGGTAATTACGCACGATGAGATGCATCGGCGTGGAGCCATCCACTGCGTACGGGGCGTTCGGATCGACCCGAGGGTCAGCAAGGAATAACTTGACGAGGGCAGCATCCGCATCCTGAACGGCGCAGTGCAGTGGCGTCCACGAGCTCATATTCGGCGCGTTGACTTGCACCCTCTCATCAGCGAGGAGCAAGCGCACGCATCCTTCCAAACCACGGAAAGTGGCAAGGTACAGCGGTGTGAAGGAATCATTATTCACGATGTTTGGATCAACGTCTTTCTCCTTGAGCAATAGACGAAGCATTTTCTCATTCGCCTTGTCCACCGCGTAGTGCAGTGGTGTGAAACCTTGCCAATCGAGTGCGTTCATATCAAATTTTCCGCTGTGAAGCAACACTTCCACGACGTCTGTACGCTCAGCTTCGACCGCCGCGTGCAGTGCCGTCCCAGACCATGTCTTGGTCGGAACCGCGTCATTAAGGCCGCAGTCCAAGAGCGTTTGAATGACGACTACGCTTTGATAGGAGGATACCGCGTCGTGAAGGATGCTCCCGTCTACGGCGATATTGTTCTGTATTCCCATGGATAGGAGCTTTTTGACGGTGGTGCTGTCATTGCGGGAGGCGAAGGCATAGAGAGCTCTTCTGGAGTATTTTTCTGCATGCGGTCGGAGTAGGCTGGAGATTAGATCAGGGGTCAGGAGTGCTGCCAGATGGTGGTTTGTGCGTAGGAAGGAGTTGACGTCTGGTGGGATTAAGAAGGCAGAGATTTGCAGAAGGAGCTCGTTGGGGAAAATGAGGAGAGGCATTATCTTTGAAGTCGACGGTTGTCGCGCACTTTGCGGCGGGTTCGTCGAACGGGGGGGGGGGGAGTTGAGGTTGGGGTTAATTTAAAGTGGCGACAGTGGTAATAATACGGTAGTGTGCAGCATACGGTCGGGAAGGTGCCTGACACGTGAAATCAGAAAAACGCCAGCTCAATAGTAATTCCAGGAATTTCCAGGCATGGTCGCATTTTGAATACTCGAGTAGATGTGACTGCATAGAAAATCCCAGAAGATCCTCTTCTTCAATTCTATCGTTTCCGATTTCCAAGGGGGGCAATACCGAGTCCCGCTAGGGTGGTAACTTTTAGAAAAGAGGCTTGCCAAGCCCCGCCATTGTACTTGTACGAGTACTCGTACAATACAATGATGGTGCAAGTGTGCTCGAGTAGGCAACAGGAGTGGCCCCTGAGCATCAGCTTCGAGTGCCTGGCACCGTATCAAGAGTACAAGTACGGTAGAGAGGGCTGCCGTACTACGACATCCGGATGGATGGCTAAGGCCGGAGTTGGGCCCCAAATTAACGGGAGATAGCAGTGGTTGTCCTCTCCCTCAAGGCAGGTATTGTAATACATTACTGGAAAGCGATACCGGTATTGTAGCTTCACACTGCGGGAGGCCCCCTTTTTTTTCGGGTTTGTGCAGTTGAGTACCGTAAGCACGGCGGTAAACCGCAGCGATCGGGAACGGCTTTCATGTGAGGGGCGATTGGACACCCCCGTTCCATGCCTGTTTAGCTTTACTGTAACCTACCGTGTTATTATTATAACCAACCAACCTTTCCGGTCTCCAACTCATGGGAATCACATCAAACTCGGATACTAATACGAGCGCAACCTCTGTCATTAACCGCATATCAAAAACACATGACACGAAAAAAAAAAAACCATCGGGGGTGGGGGGGGCATAATATTAACTCTTTCAACTATCCCCACTCTTTCGATCAAAAAATGTTGTCAGTCTGGACACGAGACTAGAAAATGAGAGGCTGTGGATTTTGGAGTAGCTATCACTGCTGGAGTCTCAGAATCGGCCTTAGGGAGCGCGAACCGACCGACCGGATGGTGTGGGAGATTGGCTCCTGGAAACGGGCGGGTTTCGAAAGTGGGGTGATAATAATATAGAGAATGGGGGTGTTACGTCGGCGTTGTTCTGTTACGGAAGCTCTGGAGTGGGGAAACATATCTCAGTTGAGAGCACCTCTTTGTCTGGGAGAAAAGTGATTCCCTCGACCAACATGGACAATTCTCCACGGGCATGCTGGGAGCATTCCTTAAGCTGTCGGCGGGGGTGAAATCTTTCAATATGTACGGGGGCAGACATTTCAAGGGGCGGAAAGAATTTTGGCGGCAGGGAGAAGACCTCGTGTCAAGGGTAAACCCACCAAGAGTTTCGCTGGGGCGGTTAGGATACATACCAGCCCTATCGGGGGTGATATTAAATGGTATTTGGAGATGAGGCTGGGGGCTGGGCCCAATGCAGCCGGTGATGGGTTAGGGGCATGTATCGTGGGAAAGGTTTTGGAGATCGTCTCTGGGATGTGGGTGGGAGCATTATTAAGTGTTTTATTAATGGCTATAAGCATGGGTTCTTTGCTAATAATGGGGGTATTGGGTGTGTAGTTCCTTTCTTGTCTCTCGTCATAACATAATTCCGGGGGAGATGACAATCTTTCAGTGGAGGAGAGAGCTCCAGGAAGTGGCAAAAGGGAAGGGTCTCCGAGATGCATACCGATACATGGTGACATTACGTCTAAGAGCTCTTCATCTACTATGCGCCTTGTTCCTTTACTCTTCAAGAGCCTCTATCACATAACTTCGTGCTCTTCCGCTGTCTGAGTAGGTGGTTGCTGAGGTTTGCTCGACGTACCTCGACTTTCAGTGCGCTAGGGACCTCTGCCTACTCATGGTTCGGCACCGCCACAGAGCCTTTAGTTCATTGCTGGTGGTACTATTCTTGTTTCTCGGGGGTACATCTGGGGAGAGGGGTGGCGGAGGGTATAGAATTACTTGGGCTTAGGCTCCTTGGTGGATATGATAGTTATATATTTCCTCTCTGAGGAGGGCCCTTTTAATTCCATACATTCGGAATTCCTCGTGGTTCTATCAGATCGGTCGAAGCAAATTCGGTATAATTTCATTCTCATCAGAATCCCGAATTATTCAATTGAGTCTCCTCCTGGTTATACATAACCACAAGGAGGCTTATTGTTGAGGCTTACGAGCGCGCAATGAGGTAATAGATATTTTGCGCAGCTAAAGCCTGGAGTTTGCGCTATAAAAATCGATGCACTGCATAGTATGATTAATCCAAGTAGTGGGGAGAAAAAGAGGCCAGGATTATAAGAAGTAAGGACTCGGGGGTTTTCTTTGGCTAGTGATGCCCATCTATCGGCCAAACAAGTTACTCGACATCAAAGGTTTTTTTTAACTTCTCTTCCGATGGGCATTAAGCAAGGCATTCTGCCCCCCCCCCCCGTCTTTACTTTGGCGGGCATTCCCCGCAATAGAACATTCATTCCTACGGATAGTGGGTATGTAGGTGCCTTCTTGTAAAGCACACTTTTAACCGTTTGCGGAACCCTTTGTCTTCTACTCCTTTTTTTGTTTAGGTTGCAGGCGTTTTGGTCTCTCTTTGTTAGCTTCCCCCCTTCCTCTTTTCCTAGATGCAAAACAATGGGTTGCGAGTGCGAGTACAGTATAGCGGACAGCGCTGAGCTTTCTTTTTAATTTTTAGATGCAAGGTGGTGTGTTTCTGGGATGCAGCAGTGTCTGTGAGCGGATCTTTGGTTTGTTAGAGGTGTGAGGTCTACTACTTAAAGACGTATGGCAAGTATGGCGAGAGCCGTTAATGATCAGGTTCTGCTCGCAGACGGGAGGAGATGGCCCTTCTTTTGCTGCCAGATTATTAGTGGGTATTGTGTATTTTGTATTCACCCT